ACCACGTGTCAGGTGATCCACAATGGAAAACTCATCGAGGAGTTCGAAGTGAAGTCAGGAGTTAGACAAGGCTGGCTGCCTGCCTATTATCACCGATGATATTCTTAATTCTGGTGAACTGGATTAGGCGTCAGACTGTGCACAGGGAGTGAGAAGACGGGAATACGCTGGACCGATAAGAAGACTCTTGAAGATCTGGATTTCGCGAGTGGATCATTTATCATATTAATGTCACGCAAATTTGAAGATTCACAGGCAAAAACCAACAAACTAGCTAAAGAGGCAGGCAGCGAAGACAGGACTTCAGGTGAACAGAGAGAATTCGGAGGTCATGAAGATAATCAATCAACAGCAACCAGCACCAATCACTATAAGCGGGAGAAAGTTGAAAGATGTTAATATCATCATTTATCTAGAAAGCATCGTTTGAACCACAGGTGGAACGGATGAAGATGTCAAAGCCAGTCAGTCAGAATCGGAAAGCCAAGATGCGCCTTCATCAATCTAAAATCGGTTTGGGAATCTTCTGCATTCCCCGGTATTAAGAACAAGATTCGGATTTTCAACACGGATGTGAAGTCAGTGAGAAACTTGCACTGCGCACCTGTCACGAAAAGGATTTCCACCAAGTTACAGACTAACATCAACAGTTGTCCGCTTGTCTGGCTCCATACTGAAGATCAAATGGCCAATGGGGCAGAAAGAATTAGCAGCAAGAAACTCTGGCTGGGAACAAACCAACAGGCAAGAACCGATTGCTCAAGAAATATGTGGGAGAAAATGGAGATGGATCGGGTATACGTTGAGGAGGCTGTCGAATGATATCGTGTGCCAGGCCAGTGCTCGAGTGGAATTCCAGTGGGAAGCGATGTGTAGGTCGTCAATGCGAGGGTGAAGACCGTGTGAAGAGATGAGAGATTATAGTCAGTCGTGGACACAGCTGCAGAGGACAATAGCAAGTAGAACAAAGTGGAAAGGTGTTGTTGAAGCCGTATGTTCAATTCGGAACCCGAGAGAATAATACTAGTAATACGATGTCCTGTATCGGTCAAGTGTGATAGAATTAAAACTTTTATGTGTTTAATTCCACTCTTTACTGAATCAAGTGGGTAAATATTCTCGAATCCACATATGATTCTGCCTAATTGTATTCTTTTTGTCCTTCACGTTCCCCAGTGGAACATAGGACTTCAAGCTAGTGGCTTGAAGTTTCTGTAGCAGTGTTTGTTTTACAGGATGGGGTTGCTAGCCTCATGCCCAACCTTTCGTCTTCATCAGCTTAGCGAGGTAAAGGAGTGCGTCAGCCGGGGATCGAACCCCGGACCATGTGCATGGTCGGCGAGCGTCCTAACCGCTATGCCACCGACGCACAGCCTAATTGTATACCCTATATATAAATTAAACCACAGAAATAGTTGAAACGGTAGGACGTCTTTCAGTTTTGGGATGAATATTAGACGGCTGCTGAAGGATAGTAGTAAGTCTTCTTTATCGCTCTGGTTAGTCATTGGAATAGAAGCTTCGTAGAAGTATCTCCTTTGAATTGTAGACGAAAATATAAAGGCTTTTTCTCTACCATTGTCAACTCATATTTGTGACTATTCTAACCGATGTTGGCTTCTAATTAACTTCTCTGGATATCCGTTTTTGCTTAAAATAGATCTCAGATCAAGTCAACCTCACTCTAAATGCTAAGCACCTGATCAAAATTACGTTTATATTTCATTGATACAAATCTAAGGAAGTTTGAGCTTTGATCTCTAGTTTTATAAATATGGTTCTTTCAATGGATCCATCTTCCCTTCTTGTTGTTAGTGTGAAGTGGAGAAATTGCAAAGAGTCATTGTGTTCTACGTCGTAGGGTGAAGTGGCCCAAAATCAAATCACTATGTAGCCTTTCATCATTCACTAGAAAAGTCTCATTCATATAACGAACGACAGTACAGTTTCATTTTTTACTATTTCATCTTTCAACGGCCCCATTTTTTTATATCTCTCCTATAAGTATACACAAAGAAAGTCATAGTACATTGATGCCAAGAATAAACAATGGAAAAAAATATTTACCGGTCGGTGATTTTATGCATCACATGCGCGTATATATCACATTACCTATTTATTACGTCTATGCTTATTATTTACTCTAAAATCCTGTCCTCTATAATAATAATAAAAATAATATCAACAAGACCCTGGATTATTTTATTGATTCTTCAACCAATCAGTAGTGACTTGATCATCTCTATCACTTATACACTAGTGAGTGGTAGGCTATGGATAAATACAAATATATTCACATAGCAGTTGGAATGGCGGATGTCTCTCTCTTTGGTCGATTAAAATCAGATTTTTATAGTCCAATAGTAGTGACCTTGATTGTATTTAAAATAAATCCTGTCCAGTATATTTGTCTGTCTGTCTGTCCATCTATCTTTCTCCAATTGTATGTATGTGTACACAAATGTATATATATCGTATGTGTGTCTATGTCTATACATTAAGGTTATGGAGATTTGAATCGTGTAACCTTGAAATCGCACTTTTGTGGAGGTTTTAGTACACATGACTAAGGTGTGAATATATATATATATAGCCTTTATACATACATTTTAAAAAATAGATCATAATTGTTTGTTCCGAATGACTGGTGGTCGTAACACTCACGGATCATTGAATTCCTGCCCAAATGATTAGCGTTTAAAGGCCCTAGGGTTCGTTCCCCAGCTGTAGGGTCATGAATATGCACATGCACTGGTGAAGAGTCAGTTTCAAATTAGGACGAAGCAGTTAAAGATGAAATTATCACCATAGATCACTTCGACACATATGAGTAGTATCCAACTACTCATCTCATTCAATCAGTAGTATGTACATAGCATGATGCATTTATACTTGCATGTATTACCAGTTCGCCGTAGTAGTTAGCCAACCAGCAGAACTCGATTAGTTTGAATTGACTCGGTGGCCTTACAAATTGAATGATGGATGGGTTTTTGCCTGAAAAAAGAAACGAAATGACCCGTCCAGTGTTTAGTTTACTTCATTCTCCTGGTTAGCTAGCAAACACACTACTACAAGTTGATGTAAGTGGTGTATCCAACTACTCATATCAGCTATTTGAGTAGTATATAGTATTCAGCATAAAATATATTAGTACACAGCCATATTTTTGAGACTTCCTGTGTAAATAAAATGTATTATTCAGCTAAAATGTATCATATTCACACTTTATGGGTACATGCACTGCTGAGGAGTTAGTCTTAAGTACTTCGTGGCGGTTTTACCGTGTTTCTCTAACAAAAGTGAATGTGTGAACTAACATGTTATCAATTTGTCAATCAACCCCTCCCCCCCCCCCCGCTTTCAAAGTATTACTTGTAAAGTGCAGTTTCCTTCGGACTCAACTTTTTTTAAAATAATGGAAAGACTGCTTTTACTTAACTTTGAGCCTTCATTGAAAGTTTTTTACAACCCTAACCTGGTGTACTTTAGAACCCACCATCGTCTTACATAATAATATTGTCTCTAGCTTAGACAGAGATGCCAAATATGTTCTGTGTGCCTTCCTAGATTACACATCTACCTTTGACTCTGTACCTAGATCTCTTTTGTTAAACAAGCTTACTGTATCACAAGCGCAGTAGTGGGATTACCAAGTGGCTGCATTCCTATTTTTCTGATTGGAAGTAGTACACTGTTTACAATAAGAGGTCCTCCGCGGCTTCACTCACTCTAGCTGGTGTTGCTCACTCAAGGTGTGGTTCTTTCTCCTTTTCTGTTTTCCTTCTACTTACATGAATTGCCCCATTCTGATGAAGCCAATTTTGTTGAGTATGTTGTTGATCTGACTGTTTCTATGCCGGCGGTTACTTCTCAGTCAGACTGTTCTAAAATGAATAACTTTTTATCAGAAATTAGTCAGTGTTACTCGTCAAATGGTCTTAAGCTTAATCCCTCCAAATGTCAGGTTGTTAGTTCCACTTTCAGATGCAAGCGTGACTTACATGAACTGGTTATTTCATACGGTTCCACTATCATTGACGGCACAGAAGCTGCAAATAAATGTTATGTTAAATACCGTGGACTGTCTGTTTCCTCTGATCTTTCTTGGTCTTCCTACATCATGTTAGTTTCCAGAAAGATACTACGTTTGACGCTCTATATAAGGAAGTTAAGACAATCAGTCTCCACTGTTACATTTTGTTAATTCTTGTATTCTGCCAATACTTCTTCGCTGTTCCCCTTTAATTTTTCCGGGGCTACTTAAGAAAGACTTCATTATACTGCTAAGGTGTTAGTAGGGCGAGTGGGATGTTGCTAAACCAACTGGTTAATACTATTGTAGACAGACACTTGGATTCCTTCAAGAAATTAGTATATCTTATCCTGTCAGACTCTGAATATCCTCTCTGTACACAACTCTCTCCTTGCATCACATCGGATAGAACTAGAAGCAACTATAGAAGACTGTATGGTCGGAGGACTAGGTACAAAAACTTTACAATACCTTATTTAGCCGGGACACATTTTATGTGATGAGAAAAGTGAGTGAGGCAGGAAATTACCAACTTACTGAGGAGCTCTAAGTAAAAGGCTTTTTTTGTTCTCATTGTTCGATTGTCGTTAGTATTCTCGAGTGGTTTAATTTTGTATTCATTTCTTACTGAACAATATTATTAGTGTCAATTAGTCTTAATGTAAATGCCTTATTCTAATTATTGCCCCTGGAATAAGAAAAATTAGATGCATTATAGTATTAGATGCTGAAAATTCCATATTTATACCAAAAGTACTGTTTAGAATAAAGCTTTTATTATTAGCATTAGTATTGCTAGTATTATTATTATCAGATTCATATAACATGGTGTGTTTGTGTGTCTTCTGTTTGATTTGTTGTTGTGTTGTCAACTGTAATTTTTATAATTTAGCTTCTTACTATATGAAAGATGCTTAAATGTATGCATATTTATGTTGTTTTTCATTTTGTTCACTCGTTTCAGCATATTCCAGTAACTATAAGAGAGTTACAGAAGTTACAAGTTCTTGACTTGGAAGAGAATCATTTAGAATCTTTACCTCCTGATATTGGTGAGGTTTCTGTTGCTTTATGTTTATTTTTTCCATTATTAAAAGGCATATTACAAAACACTATTGAACTAACTAAGTAACTAACTAACTCACTACGTAACTGACTTCAGCTAGAGAGTCATTGAAAGCCAGCAGGGAGTACTGCTCGGACAATTCGCCCAGTATGCGTTCATCCCGGGGCTCGGCACCAGGATCTTTTGGTCAGTTCGTGATCAAACCTCTAACCTATACTAATTCCTGTAAATCAACATTTCATAATTAATCAGGTGCTTACAGGATTTCATCATCAGCCAACATTGGTTAGGGAACTATTGGAAAACCTGGGAGTACTGGACAGCTGTTTCCTCCTAGTTTGGGACTCTTCAGCAATACGCACCCACCGCCAGGGTTCCAGCCCAGGACCTTCTGGTTACAAGGCCAGCGAGCTCATAGACCATTGAGCCACTGGGACCCGATCCAATAGCCCATGAATCCTAACTTCTGCCAATTCACGACATAGCGCGACCTGCTGCACCCAATGGTTCTCTAACCAATATCAGCTCATGATGAAATCCTGCAACCAATCAAATCCCTACAAACCAACACTTGAATAATCTGGTGCTTATTAGCAACTGCCTCTATACATTAGGTTATTCGGAGTTCTAGTGAGATGTCGTAACTAGCCGGGGTCCAACAAGTCAAGTGAAAGGAAAGTTACTTACCTCTGAAATTGGCTGGCGGTTGTGCTATATATATCGCGAATTGGCAGAAGTCAGAATTCATTGATTGATCATTGGGTTCTGTCTTGTGACCAGGAAGTTCTGGTTTTGAATCCCGGTGGATGCATACCTCTGAAGAGTCCCAAAACTAGGAGGGGACAGTTGTTCTGTACTCCACAGGCTTCCATTAAGTTCTCTAAATGATGTTAGCTTATGATAAAATCTTAAAGTTACTGGTGATCCTCTTGATGGCGGTGGACTGGGTTATGCAACAGACCGTGGGAAACGAAAAGACGCGGATATGTAGTGTAAGCCGACACCAAAGATCCTGAATTTCGTGGATTACTTATGTTTCATGTTGCAAAAAGTAAACGAAAACCAACAAATTGACAGAGGAGGATAGCAAAGACTAGACTTTATGTCGGTGTAGAGAGAAGACAGGATATCCGACCGATAAAGAAACATTGATCACCAATGGGGGGGGTGAAATCTAAAACAAGTTATCTTTTTTTGTTTGCTTATCTGATCTGGACAGCATCCTGTCAACTTCAGTCGTTGACAAGAATAAAGACATCAGAACCATCCACGGTTGAGAAAGTAAGATTGGAGTTCACTACTCTGAAAGCAGTGTGAAAATCTACAGCTCACTGAGAGCAAAGAAAAATATGCGAATTTTCAAAACTAATATCAATTTAGTACTTCTCGATGGCCCAGAAACTTTGAACTTCACCGGAAGCATTTCCAACAGGCTACCGCAGACTTTTATCAACATATGTCTTCGCTTGGCTTCGAAGATCAGGTGTCCAGTCGGGATGGATAAACAACAGGGGATTATATCAGCGAACTAGACCAGGACCTATTGCTCAACAAACATTATTATTATTATTTTTCTTTTGGGTTCCGAGTGGAAAATACGGCTTCAACAACACATCTCCACTTTGTTCTACTTGCTGTTGTCCTCTTCAGCTAGGTCTACGATCTCTCACGATCTTCTCTATGTCACCTTCGGACTGACGACCCACTCGTCGTTTTCCACTGGGATTCCACTCGGGCGATGGCCTGTATTGAGCGCGGTGTCATTCGACAGCCTCCTCAACGTATACCCGATCCATCTCGATTTTCTCCCACATATTTGTTGAGCAATTGGTTTTCGCCTGTTGGTTTGTTCCCAGCCAGAGTTTCTTGTCTCCTAGTTTTTTGCCGGTTCCAAGCGCGGGAAAAGATGGAGACTTGGGCGTAGGTCTAGCGACGCTACCCCACAAAACCAATCAGACTGCTAAAGAAACTTCAACTCTCAACAAATATGCGAAAAGAAATGGAAATGAAGATATACACTAAGGAAACCTTCAAGTAATATCACACGCCAGGCAAACTCTCTAGTGCTGCGCAAATGGGAGGCAACGGATTGAACGTTTTAATGTATGATAGATACGCATCACTGTTAAGTACCGGCTAACAATTAATTGAATTCAATATTGTAATTCATTGATTTCATTATGATCTATCAGGTTTGGCATATCCCGTCTACTGGTTTTCGTGTCTGACTAAATTGTAACTAGTCCATCGCTACAAACATCAGTTGTAGTTCCGTTAATAATACTTCGCTTTATACTTAAGCAAAGTAGTACTTATAGCCTTTAAAAAAAAGGGTCATGTTCTCATCAAGGATTCTTATCGATGTGAATGTCCATTCCCCCTGACTTAATTGTTACTTGCCTATTCACAGTGTCAGAGCTGACAAAAAACATGAATAAGTTGTAAGTTTTATAATAAATATATATCGTTTATGTATGATTACTAATATTAATATTATTATTATTATTATTATTCTCCCTTTAGGTTACTTAGGCGAACTTCAACGCTTAATTGTTCAGTCAAATAGACTTATCAGTTTACCACGGGAAATCGGGTAATTATTATGTGATACAAATATTATTGTTATTATTATGTAATATTATCTTATTATCATTCCCTTGGGTTCCGTATGGAACTCTGTAGTCGTCTTTAGCTAGCTCCATAATCGCCCATTAACTCTCATTTCCTCCACGTCACCCAACTCGTCGATTCCCATTCAGGTTTTTCACGAGGGTGTGCCTGGTGTTTGTGCGTGTATTTGATGTCATTCAACAGTCTCTCCAACGTGTCCCTATCGATATCCATTTAGTTCTGTATGTTGTTTTGTTGGGTCAGTTCATTGCCTTGCCAGGGTTCCTTGTTGCTAATCCTTTCTGATAAACTATCTGAAGTTTAGTGTTGAGTGAATAAAGGCAAATGTTGTTAAAAGTCAGTGATATTAGATGGTTAGAGGCAATCGGCAGGAAGCCTTGCTTGACCTACGTTTCGTGCTAGTTAGCACTCAGCGGTCAGTCAGTGAGCAAGGTGTATCTGCAACCGTGAAGGAACTCATGTCCCTTTTGAGATTCGAACCCGCGTCACCCAGTGCCGCTGACAAATGCCAAATAGCACGAAACCTAGGTTTAAGGCTTCCTGCCGATTGCCTCCAACCATCTAATACCATCAAATCAATGTGCACCGTGATGGTGAGCTACCTAGAATATTGGTCACATTGCAAACTTGACTGATAGAATTCAGTCTGCACCAAACAGAGGACCAGACACTTTAGACTAGTGTCTAATCAAAAGTCAGTGATAGCCTGTTGAAAATGACTTTCATGAATTAAATACTGAAAATCTGGATCTTGTTCTTTATGCTGAATGTAGTAGATTTCTACAATTACTTCAGATTGATTGACGTCTGTCTTACCTTTGACATCCTCATCCGTGCAACCTGTAATTGAAACTATTCTACCTAGATAAGTGTTACTTCAAGGAAAGTTCTTCTCAAAGACGATGAAATTCTCATCTTAAGGGTATCGCAGATTAAGTCTCCTTTGAAATTAAGGTTCATGTAAAATTTGTTTTTTGGTACAAAAAATGTTTCGTTTCTTTGAACTTTGTGTTTGATGATATTATTAACGAGGAATCTCGGTAGGTATCCATTTTGGATGGGGATTTCTTTCAAAGCACCTAACTCCTCTTATAGAGCATCAGGGCTGCATATATATTAGATCAGATTGGCAAAGGATGTAATTAAATTTCGTTCTCATCATTTCTCTATTTAGTGGAATGGTTACGCACCACAACCTCACTTTCACACAAAACCTTTTTTCAATAATTCTATTTAAACTACTAAATAGTAGTAAAGTTATTTTCAGAACATTTTCGCTAACTAATTGTATGACTATTGTTTGTTTTTAGAGTGTAGAGCGAAATTAAGAAGTTGACGCAAATTATTTCAGTCGTACATTCTCTTTTTCATATTTTGGGTTTTTGTAGAGGTTTGGTGTAATTTCAATGTACATTTTGTCATGAACCCACAACCGTTCGAGAACCCCTGAAAACCAGGGAATACGGAACATATGTTCCACCTTAGTTTGAAAGTCTTCAGCAGTACGCACTCACGACCCCACTGGGGATATAACCCGCAGTCTTTAGCTTACGAGGCCAAGTTCGTTGACCACCACTTCGTCTGGTTTTCAATGATTTTCTGACTGATGTCAGTATGTGACGAAATCTACATCGAAACTAATCCAAATCTCTTCTCTTCATGGCTGTATGCCCAATCCATCCATCTGCATTTCCTTCTGCATATTTGTTGGGTGTTTCTCTACCTGCCACAATTCCTTGTTGCTTATCCTTTCCAAATAGCTATCCGATATTCAGTACCTAGCGAAAGCAGCAGTTGATAAAAGTCTGCATCCAGTCTATCGCGAAAGCTCCCCTACTGATGCGCCAAGTCTCTGAACTACATAGAATCACCGACAAGACACTTACGTTAAAAATTCGGATCTTACTGCTCATGTTGAGTGTTACAGATTTCCATACTGATTTCAGATTATTAAATTCATACTTCTCTTTTCCGATTCTGTCTGACGTTGACATATACATTCATACTGCCGGTTGTAGTTGACAGGATGAAATGAAGGAGACGGCTCCCCCCAGGTTTCTCACGTTGGTAAATAAAAGTCAATAAATCGCATCACTGAAACAATTTAATTTTAGTATTTACTTATCTTCTAACTGTTATCCTATTTTGTTTTTTCTTTGCCACATATCAGCCGTTTGCACAACTTGGTTTATTTGGCTGTGGGTGAAAATGATCTGCAGACTATACCAAATGAAATAGGTAAGTTCGTGAATGGTTATCACTTTGGCTTTTTTCCACACCATCCTTTGCTGAGCAGTCCATGGAGTAGTAGGAGTATGTGTAGTAGTAATGTCCTATTTACTCAACTCTATATATCTCATCTGGTGTATATATAGAAAACAATATTAATAGAATCTTCGGTAGTTCAATGGTAGGATGTTCGCTGACTCTGTGGGAATTTCGAGTCCGATCTCCGGTCGACAAACCACTTTACACCTCTGCTAACGGGTAGTAAGCCGAGGAGAAAAGAGGGAGAAAGTTGGATACGAAGCTAGTAAACCCCATCCCACAATAAAGAAAGCAACAACACCCGAACTGGAACTTCAAATATTGAAGCTTATATCTGTGCTAAGGATTCCTCTGTTATCATTTCACCGAGAGAATTATTCAACAATTGGTGTATCATCTTCGATCAAGAATAATTAATTCTTAGTGTGAAAGACAAGCTCTAATTGGCAATTATAAGCTTATCACTGTAAGTAGTCTTTTTTGCATTCCTTCACTTTCCGGGTAAAACGTAAGCTTCAAAGCTTCACACTTCAAGGTTTCAGTAGCGATGGTATTGTTCTGTTTGTGTGGAGTATGAGCTTGCTTTGTTTCACACTCAACCTTCTGTCTGTCTTTATCAGACTTACTAATAGCAGTCGAGGGGGGGGGCAGATTTCAGAGTGCATAGGTCGGTAACGGAAGCTGGACCACGCGCATGGTTGACGGCGGCGGCGGGTATTCTATGAGTGAATCTCAGACTCACAAGACTCTTCAAATATTGCATGCTTGACTGAAAAGTAGAAGTAATTTTGATCCTTCATATTCACTGATTCAGAATCGACTTCTGAGTACTTATATCGATTATGACATGCCTTCCTCCTCTATTACTCAATAAAGACTACTAGGTATCTTTTTTCATAAATATAAATTTTTTTGAATAGGCAGTAGTTAGAATTCATGAACCAGACACTAGATTCCTTGCCATATTGGCTAAATGGTCAATGAGCCTATCTTGTAATCTGAAGATCCTTGGTTTGATCCCTAGCAATAGTTACTAACTAGTGTCCAAACAAAAGTATCCAATACATTTCGACAGGAGGAGGTCAGTTGCAAGCTCGATTAGCTAGCTCAGTATGTACCACCTCTGACTGCAGCACTGAGTGACGCGGGTTCGAGTCTCAAAAGGGACATGAGTTCCTTCAAGGTTACAGATGCGCCTTGCTGACTGGTGAATGCCAACTAGCACGAAACGTAGGTGTCCAAGGCTTCCTGCCGATTACCCCCAATTATCTAATATATATATATATATATATATATGTATATATATATGTATATATATATATATATGAATGTACAATCCTTGGTGGGATAACTTTGTCGATAAAGAAAGAAAATGCTTTTTTTCTGATAATCTTAAACAGAGATATTTTCTCCTCTCTGCATATCTTTCCTACTTTCTTTTTCTAGGTGATTTGCATAAATTAGAAACATTATATTTGAATAATAATTTGAATTTACACGATCTACCCACGGAATTGGCTATGTGTTGTAGCCTACAAATGATGTCCATTGAAAATTGCCCATTGACACAAATTCCTGTTGAAGTAGTGACTGGTGGTCCATCACTTGTCATTCAGGTAAGCAGCCAGGGTTAACCCATCTTTCTCCTTTTTTTGTATCTCGTTGTTTTTAGAAGACGTGATAATGAGCAGGTTTTGGTGTACTTTGAATCCTTTCGTGTGAGCAGAGGTAGAATTTGAATATCCTGGGACTCGTGATATATGCATCAATCAACGTCCCTGCCTCCACGTTTCTTGTCCTGAGGTCATCATTGTAAGTGATAGCAGGTTCTTCATTAGGAGGAATATCTGCACAAGCTATTTGAATTGTGGCCAACTCCTCCTTTACCAATAACTTTCGCGAACTGGCCTTCAGAAACTCCATCACAATAGAATATCATACGCTTTGGAGAACTCCCATCCATGTTTTACAAGTAAAGATGAAGTAGCATCTTGACGATAAGATGCATATCTTCGATCATTTCTCTCATTCTGCCTTTCTATGGTTGTCCGTTGGCCGATGACCACCCCGTGTTTCATCAGATAGGGTGGTATATTACCGATAGCAGTAGCTACTGACTCCTTAATATGATGGGTTTGTGTGTGTGCCGGATGGGTGACGTCGGCTCTAAAAAACCATTACCAATTCTTGACTGCTTCTACTCAGGTTAGGTATTTGCCAGTTAAAAATACTGAGTTTCCCATTGATCTTGAGCAAGAGTTTTTAAAAAACGCTCGGTTTGTCTAAAGCATGACCTCGTACGCATTGGTGGGTGTTAATGCATATTTGTAGATTGCTCAGAATTTCAGTGACCGAGTAGGGCTGTTCATTGTATAGGATAAGAAGCAGAAAAGCTCATCCTTGTCTGGCATTGTATCAACTAGGCGGGGTAAAGTGGATGCGCTGGTGGGGAACCGAACCCAGACATCCCACATGGCTAACTGTTTAGCATTCTGCCATTGAACCACCGACACAGAAGCGCGTAAGAAGCATCTGAATATTCGTCAAATTAGTAAATAAAAAGTGAATACAGGTATTCATCTTCAATTCCGAGAAAGTATATCGCACTAATCAGGGCACTCTACTCGAAGTCGTGCAGCTGTGTAAGACCTTATGGAGATTTATCATCTAGAGGGATGTCTACTGCCGGTGTCCGCCAGGGATGACCAATATCTTTAATTCCATCATTAGTATACTAATGGGTGTGACTCTGATCGAATTCAGCGACTTAGTGACTGATTTTGTTAACAAAGAAGAGCTTCGTCAATTTGTAGTATGCAGGTAATATAATCCTTCTAGATTCTGACAAAATGTAGAGTCTTCTGAATACCTTAGGTATAGATCTTCGAATGTTTGGTATGCGATTCGGCCCCCGTTAAATGTAAGATTATGTTTAAATATAGTGAGCCAAGTGGTTGGGCGTATTGACAAATTCACTCATTTGGGGAGTTGCTTCAACCTTAGTGGAATAATGTCCATACTATCTCTTTTACCTTCTTAGTATTTGTTAAGCAATAGAACAGGTTGTTGGCTAATTCTCTGGTTGCCAGACTTTGTGGTCATTTGGGGATGTTCCTTGTTTTACGTCATTTCAAATCAATCCCCTTTTATACTTCTTCCTTATTATAAATGCACAGTTTTGAAAATGAGTTTCATAGAAAGGTTGATGATACTGATTATACTTTAGGGGTAGTTTATATTACGTGTCTAGATTGAAACTTCTCAGCTTTACAAGTTGCAGTAGAGAAACTCCAATGTTTCTTGGGTTTTTTCAGGTTTTTTGACTGTTGCTGGCTCATTAGAAAGAAAAATAGTCTCCTTTTCCTGAAAAGTCTGTCCTACTGTTGGTGGATTCCGTGTTTAGTATATGTCTATCCACCCACCAATGTATCGATACCTGCTATTATTGTATTCTCCGAATCTTCACACGAATAAGGTTAATAGTAATGGACAGTCGATATTTTTCTAGTAGATTTTCCTTGACCCGAACTGGTAAGTTTTCAAGCAGACTGAAACAATAATAATGTCGAAAATGTGTATTCGCAAACGCGCGAGTGAGAAATAATATAATTATCAATACATAACGATAACAGCTATACGACAAACATCACCTAACTAATCATATACCTCAGTATCGGACTGAGTAGTGGACATCTATCGTAGCGCTAGAATCTCATTGGTTGTTCTTCGTACTGATGTGTAGGCGTTTATCGGTGTGCAGAAATCTGATTGGTTGTTTACCTGATCAACGTCTAGGTGACTACGAATGTGGTCAAGTCTAATTGGCTGGTTATCTGACTAACATGTAGGTGGGAATCAATGTATGTAGGACTTAAATTCTGATTGGCAGACTATCGATCAAGTTTGTGGTTATACATAACAGCAACACAGTTTGGTTATTGTTCATCTGTGTGAAAATATTTGTATATGTTCTCATGATTATTCCGTTTCCCGTATTTCTTCTCTTTTGCTTACAGTATTTACGCTTACAAAGTTCTTTCAGTCATATATGAACTTCTTCTGCCTTTTCTTGTTTGATGATGATGAATCCAAAAATTTCCTAAATTGAAAAAAAAACAGGTTGACAGACACAAAAACGCAAACCATATCGCAATAATGAATCATAACTACATCGAAGACAACAAAAAGCACAACACTGTCTACAACGATAACAACATCCTCCCTTCATTACTCTCTCCACAAGGACATTTTAATTTTCAAACTAAGTTGTTTTGTATGTGTATGTGTGTGTGTATATTGTGCCCGAAATGTGATACAACACCCTATGGTTGCCGTGGTTACCTGTATATTTCATTATTTCAACAACATTTCGATAGTTTTATTCAAATAGTATATACATATATGTGTTGTATACAAAGGATACAAAAGAGGTACATTATTTCCAACTTATTTCCTGTTTTCCACGTATTTCTGTTTTGTTTGGTGACAGTGATTTCCGTGTACACTCTGAGAGAACTACTAAATTATTAAATGTTTCTGTATCATTATGATTATAATTGTCTTCATACGTCTTCTGTAGCAATTCATCTGTTCTCCAGTTTACTCGTTTTCCCACTAACTCATGAATTAAATTCATCACCAGTGTGAAATGGGAAGGAAACATTGGAAGTTCCTGTTTTCATTCTCTCTCTCTGTCTAATATGCTTCATGTGTCTTTGAGTGAAAAGTTTATTTTATATAACAGATACATATACATATGTAAAGTGGTAGTGTGTATACAAATTGTACACTGATTAATGTATATTATTATCTTGAAAGAATGAAAGATCAGATTTCTCCAGCATCGTTATCGTCAATTCCCCTCACACCCCCTCCACGTCGTTTACACACTTTTTTAAAAGAATTTTTCAATCTAGTCGCATTTCCTGCGCGTTTCTGTTTTTTGTTTTGCTGTTTTTTTGCATTTATGTGTAACTAACTAATTTGTCTTGCACATCCACCAGCTGTTGTATTCTTATTTTTCTTTTCATCGAAAAAAATGTCTTTTCTCTGTTGTGTTTTTGAAGTAGAGAAGTTCTCGTTTGTGACATGTTTTGAGTACAGCTAGCTAAGAGTGTAAACAAAATCACAGAAACAAAGCAACCCCGCCACACCAACATACACTCACACAAACAAACATATATGTTTATTCATATGTGTATAGAGTAAAGGTTATCTTTCTGAATCTTTCTTCTTTGTTTCTAACCTTTTCACGTATTTGCGTGCGTGTGTCTTTGTTTTTGTATTTAATCCATCTCTATCTCTCTCTCTTGTCGTCTTCTTTTGTCTGGCAGCCATCTTTCTTTTCTCTTTTTTTTTACTGTCTTTGATGTAATTTAGACGCACCGAACTCATCGCCTCAGTGTTGTTGTCAGTAATTCTTTTTTTGCTTCAGTTTACTCCCTTCGTTTCACACTGAGTCATATAAGAAAAACACAGCTGATATTATCCTGATTTTTGATTTTATTTTATTATTCCAAATGGAAAATAGATATTATAAAAAGTACAACAGCAGTAGGTGTACTAACTATTAACTGTGAAGGAATACATACAATATATATGTGCGTCTTTGTGTGTATATTTGTGTTAATTAACAGTTTTGTGGATATTCTTTTACAGACAGACCTTTGTGTACAGTAGTAGTAAATTTCTTATGTATGTACCACAATTTTATACATGTTGTCTATGAAAAGGAGTTGCTGTTGTTGTTGTTGGTTTCGCTCCTTTTTTGGGGGGCGTGCTTATTTTATCCAGCTTATCAAGTAATAAAATAAACGTTCGTTTCTCGTTTATTTATTATCTTTTTTGTCAAATATTATCTTTTTATTTTTCAAACAAATATTCTTGAATGATAAAATAATAGTAATAATAATAATAGTGGTGATAAAGATTTTAATACCACTAACAGCTTCAATACTCTTCCTTTATACTTGTAAGTAATTGATTCAATTTTTTTCTACTTTGTTCAATGTTCAGTTATTTTTATTATTTTGTTTATTCGTATTGTATGTGTGTATGTATGCGCTTGAGCGCGCGCGCGCGTGCATTCATTCAATTCGCTAAACACATGTCTACTTTGACAATTCGCTATTACTGACTCATTAATAATAATAATAATAACAATATTTTAAATAGTCATCTGATTTTATCATTATTCTTATATGAAAGAATACTTTTTCAAGAAGTTTTATTATTATTATTTTTGTGTGTGTGTTTTGTTTCGCTTTGTTCATTTGCCTTCTTATTCTTTTTCTTTTTTTTCTGCTTTTTAATACGCGCGATCATGTGCTTACATATGTTTATTTTTCAGAAAATAATTTTACTTGTTGAACACAATCTCTTTTTGTTGTTGTTGTTGTTTACTTTTCTGATAAGTGTTTATTTTGGAAATCTGCTGTCTTAAAAAGTAAAAATAAGTAAATAAATAGAATTATTAAAAGAAAAAGTAAACTATAAATATCATTTGATATTATTAAACTTTGGGTCTATCTTGGTCATGTAGCCGAAGCCAAGAGTACTGTGGATAGTGTTACTAATTGTAAGTGTATGCCTAAATCATAATAATAATAATTCATTCTAAGATAGGAGAGCAAAAAGGGTCAGCTGAATGAATGAATCATCTTGTAATGTGTGTTCCCGTTGAAAATAGATACAGGGAAAGACGACCTACTTGCAGTTTGACTGAACCGAAGGCGGATGACGATCAGGAAAGTGATCGATAAATAATGTTTAACAATAGTGCGGGTGTTAGCCGAGTGGAGACTGTAGCGGTAAATAATTCCCCAAAATTATTAACCACAGCAATCATTACTCAACATTGGATGCTGACCATCACTGTTTAAGTCGACTTGTTTAGCTGAGGACCTCCGGTCAAGCATCCCCACCATTTGGTACTCCGTCGTGTCATGTACGTGCACGATTACTAGCTAGCTAAGCATTCACCTCTACCCGCGATTTTGTCCCGAAATATACTACGTACTTTGGACGACAAAATCTGGTCTTTTGCTTTATCTTTGGTACTCGAAGCGCGAACACTATAGAAGTTGTTGGTATAAGATCTTGCGTTAGTATAATCCGTACAATTCGCGAACGTCTATACCTGCAACCCCTAAACTGGTGAGGCCAACCACTAACTTCATCTTCAATAAACACGCAGATAAACCCGGTGAGTTCGTTCCTTTTTGTGTTTGTTCTTGTACTCTATTGTAATCGGTATACATTTCATCATGAGTGATCCTAGCCCCAAGGTTATTCGTATTCGCTCAGCTGCCAAAACAATTCAGCTCGTACCATATTGGCCACATAATGCTGAAACGTGGTTTCAGATTGCTGAGTCCGATTTCTGTGAGCATGGCATAACCGATCAACGTTCACAGTTCCTTGCAGTTATTCACACCCTACCGCGGGAATTCAGCAGGTGCTTAACTCTGCAGATGTCGAGTCCAGAGGTAAGTAACTCGTACGAGTTGCTCAAAGCATCCCTCTTCAAGAGAAACGTTCTCACGGATCGACAACGTCTGGATGAATTATTTCATAACATCGAGTTAGGGGATCAGTCAGCCGTGAGCATGCTGGCAAGAATGAGAGAGATTATTGCCCAAAGTCAGTTCGATGAAGGACTGTTTAAAGAACTCTTTTTATCCAAACTGCCACAGTCAGTTCAGACTGTACTTGTGACACTTCAGGGTGACACTTCTAGAGATAACTAAACGGCCAGTTACCGAAGTATACTCAGTTACCGAACAGACTTCGAGTAAGGATTCTGCAATGATAGAGTTGTGCAACTCCATCCAGCGGATGTTTAGGTCAGACAAGCCTAGCAATTCCTCCTACCGTCGTTCTAAATCCCCTCAACAGCAAAATGCACGTGGACGATCTAAGTCCAACACACGTTCTCTCAAAAATCCTGACTGGTGTTGGTGTCACAACACCTATGGCCAGGAAGCGAAATGTTGTCGAAAACCTCGTGATTTCGGCAAAGCCTCCAAGTCTGTGGGAAACTATCCTGCCGGCACGCGTTAGCGGCAACCGTCGCCGGTGGCACTAGCCGCTTACTTTACATCCATGATGTAATGAGCCAGACTAGATATCTAGTCGACACAGGCGCCGAAGTCAGCGTCCTTCCTGCTACAGCAGCAGATCGACAGAAGGAACCTAACTTCAACTTACAAGCTGCAAATGGAAAACCAATTGCAACCTATGGTCAGAAATACGTCTATCTGAACGTAGGTTTAAGCAAACCTATTCAGTGGATTTTCCTTCTCGCCGACGTCACAATGCCCATCATCGGCACGGACCTACTTAATTATCATGATTTGCTCGTAGACGTCCACCGTAAACGACTAGTTGACAACACTACTAGTTTGTCTATAAAAGGTATAACTTACAGTGGCCCCAGCTTGCCAATCGTTAAGATGAAAGCAATCCTCGATCCAACTTTTCAACCGATTGTTGACAAATATCCGGAACTCAATTGCCCATCTAACGATCTGTCGTGCCTGAGCAGCAATGTTATACACCACATCATAACCTCAGGGCAGCCCATGACATCTAAAGCACGACGACTGGCCCCTGACAAACTGAGAATTGCAAGAAATGAATTCGATAATATGCTCACCCTTGGCATCATTCGGCCATCGAATAGTCCATGGGCATCCCCGTTGCATATGGTACCGAAAAAGGATAGCAACGATTGGCGACCCACTGGTGATTACCGGCGAGTGAACACCAAAACAACCCCTGATTACTACCCTTTGCCTCACATACACGACTTGACGGCAACGTTATCTGGAGCATCTATATTCTCCAAAATCGACTTGGTTAAAGCGTATGACCAAATCCCGATGGCAACAGAAGATATTCCGAAAACGGCTATCATCACACCTTTCGGACTTTTCGAATTCCTACGTATGCCGTTCGGCCTTCGGAATGCGGCCCAAACATTCCAACGCTTCATCGATGAAGTATTTCGCGGTCTCGACTTTGTATACGCATACTTAGACGACTGCCTCATTGCCAGTCCAGATAAGGAAACTCACCTTAGACACTTGGACTTGGCATTTGAAAGGTTACGCCAACATGGTGTTACCATCAATATCCAAAAGTGTCAAATAGGTGTTGACTCACTCGATTTTCTGGGTCACGCTATTGACTGTCAGGGCATTCGCTCACTGGTTGCTAAAGTCGAAGCGATACTGAACTTTCCGGAGCCAAAGACAGTAAAAAGTCTTCGCACTTTTAACGGCTTGGTAAGTTATTACCGACGTTTTATTCCTAATTGTGCTTCCCTGATTCAGCCATTAACAGACCTCCTTCGAGGGAATAACAAGTCTATCGAACTCGACGCGTCTTCTCGACATGCTTTTACTCAGGTAAATAAAGCTATTGCGGATGCCACCCTTCTTATGTATCAGGATCCAACGGCACCGTTGAGTATCTCGGTTGATGCATCAGACACTGCAATCGGCGCAGTTCTGCAACAACTAGTTAACAAAGAGTGGCAACCACTCGCCTTTTTCTCGAGGCGCCTTCAAGTAGCTGAAACGAAGTACAGCACATTCGGAAGAGAACTTCTAGCTATGTACTGTGCTATACGTCATTTTCGACATTCAGTTGAGGGTCGTGAATTCACCATTTTCACTGACCACAAACCTCTGACGTACTCTCTGAACTTAACTTCAGATAAGTATTCACCCAGGGAATCACGACAACTGGATTACGTTTCACAGTTTACATCGGATATTCGCCATGTATCCGGAGTGAATAATACTGTAACAGATGCCTTGTCACGTATTTGTTCCTTCACCCAAATCGACGGCACAGACCTAGTAAAACTGGCTCGTCTTCAAAAAGAAGATATTGAGTTTCAACATGAGTTGTCGAAAACAACTCTACAATTAGCCGAGAAACCCTTAGGTATAGGAAAAGATACTATTCTCTGTGACATTTCCACTAGTACTCCTCGCCCTATCGTACCTAAAAGTTATCGCCGCAACGTCTTCAATACGTTGCATGGCTTATCCCACCCCGGCGTTCGAACTACCGTCAAACTCGTAACCAGTCGGTTTTGTTGGCCTGGTATTAATAAGGAAGTAAGAGAATGGGCACAGAGTGCTTAGTTTGCCGAAAGTGCAAGATAATAAGACACACCAAAAGCCCCCTTGGCACCCTTCTTATCCCCGATGCCCGTTTCGAACACGTTCATATAGATTTAGTTGGCCCCCTTCCGGAATCTCATAGATACACCTATATGTTAACCTGCATCGATCGCTTCACACGATGGCCCGAAGCAGTACCCCTCAAGGATACATCTGCTGAAACCGTCGCACGCGTCTCTGTAGAGAGATGGATCGCAAACTTTGGATGCCCATCTTCCATAACAACTGATCGCGGGCGGCAATTCGAAAGCGGTTTATTCTTCGCTCTGACTAAAATCCTTGGTTGCATGCGTTTTCGAACAACTGCCTACCATCCTAAAGCCGATGGTATGGTAGAACGTCTACACAGACAGTTGAAAGCTGGTTTATCAGCTGCAAATAACACCCATTGGACTGAATCCCTTCCGTTAGTTCTCCTAGGGATACGAAACGCTTTAAAAACCGATGCTGGTTGTACTACCGCTGAACTAGTATATGGCACGACACTACGACTTCCAGGTGAGTTTGTTTCTCCCTCGAGTTTCCCACCAGCGGTAGATCACTCCTCATACGTCAGTAGGCTTACAAACGCAATGTGTTCAGTTAAACCTGCTCCCCTCCGACCACAGTCCATCGATGTTTTCGTTCACCCCTGTTTAAAAACTTCGTCACACGTATTTGTTCGTCGCGACTCTGTGCGTCGCCCTCTAGAACCCCTGTATGACGGTCCATATAAAGTAATTAAGCGTACGGATAAATTCTTCGTCTTAGACAAGGAAGGCAGCGAAGACCGTCTGAAACCGGCTTAGTTGGAAAGTAATCCTATTAGCCTAGAGCTAAACGTACCCGATAATCCACAAGTGATTGAATCTCCTGTAGTCTTCGAAGAACTCCCTATCACGGCGAAGGCCACTAAACCTTCGGTCGAACCCTCTAAAAAGCGCGTTCTGGACGTCACGTTAGATTCCCAGAATACCTTCACACCTATTTCACATAACTGAGTGGTGCGTTTCACCCAACTCATTATTTCTCTTCAGACACACCTTTTTTATGTAGCATCACTTAACACAAGTAAACGATTTTTTCCTATAACCGTACATTAAACATGCACTTAGAAAAAATTAAATTAGATGTATATTTTTTCCCGATAGTTTGAACTTTACATTATTTTACTGTATAGTAGGTGCACGTCATTTTTTTTGGTAAAAAACGCTTATTTGGTACATTTTCGTTGACAAGGTTCTCAGCATTCTTGTTTTCTTTTCCAAGTGCGATGGGCACTGGACAACAAAA